GCGCAATGATAATACCAACATGGGCCAGTGAAGTGACGTCCTCCACAACTAGACTGAAGAACAAAAGGACAGCAACTTGTCTGTTCCCTTTCCCCAATTCCCCAATAAAATCTTTAAAAAACAAATAAATAAATAAATAAAAATAAATAAAGGGGACTTCCAATGGCCAAATCTGGAGCAATCTGAATATCAAAATATATAGTGACAGTAACAAATTATAAACCATTGACTAAAATAGGAAACTGATTCCATACTGATATAATAACTAAGTGAGCAAGAAATAGGGAGAGAAGGGATTGAATTCCCCTACAGTAGGATGCCAGCTAATGAATATAAATGGAATCATGTAGTTAGAAAATCATTAACAGTTGCTAAAACTAGTGGGTATTTGATGATGAGTGTGTATTTACATAAAGTATCTTCTCACAGGGAACTTATTAATTACCATGGGAAAATAGTATCTAAGAAAGATCTGTGGATAACTCTCTAATCAAGTGATCAATTTAAAATCACTTGTACTGGGGCAAACCCACAGTATATACCTTTTAATAGGATATACTGCGAAAAATAAAACATAACTTCTGTGTTATCCCTGCCAAAAATCAGAATCTAATCATGATGATTAGATTGAGCAGTTTTCACACAAACACGCCTGGATCGAGGGACTTTCTACAAAGATTTCAAGGTTAGGAAAGACAGAAACTGAAGAGCTGTGTATTAATTTGTTGCTGTGCATATTAGACTATTACCCCAATCCTAGTGACTTAAATCTGCACACATTCACTATCTCCCACTTTCTTAGAATCAGGAGTCTAGGCGTGGCTGAGCTGGGCGGTCCGCTCAGGGGCGTCTCACAAGGCCACCAGGTGTCATTTGAGGCCGGGCTGGAGAAGGACCCCCCTCCACACTTACTCAGGCTATGGGCAGCACTCAGTCCCCTGCTGCTGGAGTCTGTTCCTTGTGGGGTGCCGGCTGGAGGCCCCTCTCTGCTTCTAGAACCACCTTCAGCTCCTGGTCACATGGAGTGGCCCAGCATGGCCACCTGCTTCCTCACAGCCAGCAAGATGGGGACTCTGATGGGAGGTACTGTAAGCCCACAGTCACATGCACATAATCACGGACATACCATCACCTTTGTTTGCCGTATTCTGTTTGTTGGAAGCAAGTCAAGGTCCTGCCCTCACATGTGGGGAGGGGGCCACACCAGGAGCTGGGGACCATGGAGGCCCCTTAGGCATGACACTGCAATAAGGCACAGTGACTGGGACATAGCACGTGTTCAGTAGCTATTTGTTGGGTCAATTTTAGAAGAAATGGGGCCATTTTCTTAGAGCATTTTGGCAGTTGTCTATTGGATGTGACTACGTCAGCAATTGATCTCTGAGGAAGGGTTATTGCTTTTCGTGGTCTTTTGAAGTCTTATCACCCTTAATAAGATCCCCTCCAACCCTCAGCAGCACTGGGCTTATGTGAAACAGCCATTTTCTGTGGACAGTTTTTGAGTACATGTTTCAAGTTGTTGCACAGTAGGGATCAGCCCAATATGTTAAATGCATGAGTTTAAATCAGATCACAGTTCTCAAGTTCAAAGACAGAGCCAACTTATGAATAATAAAACTGTTATAGTGCAATGACTCCAATCAGTACACAGCCTTTTCTTTCTCAAACCAAACATGGGATTTTATACCCCAGAATTCAGTCTGATAAACAAAAGCTGGTTCATGTGAAAAGACGTTACACGGAGGATGGTGAGCAGCTATCCTTCATATCAACCAAGGTCACACACTAGGAAATGGACTTAGGTGA